TTTAACAAATAAGCCATTTTTCAGGTTTTAAAAAATTTGACCTTTTTCAAATTTTCGACTCTAAAAATTGAATTTGAAACCTTAGAAACCATATATTCGGATGCAGGTCGACGAGTTGCCTCGAACCGTGTATAGACATCGCAAAACTAAATGTTGCTCAACTTTGAAATTTCCGGAACCTTATAAAGTGGAAGAAATTGACTTCTAGTATAGGCATCGTTTTTCTGGATCAGCGAACCGTCTTTTGTTCCACAACTTTACCATATACATAATGCTGAAATTTTCATTATATAGCGTAGAGGTGAAGTGGAAGATAACAGCCAGTTCGGATCTGTCACATTCATCTTCTGAATAGTCGAAAAAAGCTCAAGACAGTGTGTGATCATTTATCATATAAGTCAAATATATTAGTTTTAGCCAATTCCAACCAGCGTTAGTACATCAGTACAACTAGAATTTTGGACTACCAGTCGTTGGATCTTCAGTCTACGATGTATTAAGAATTTGAAGTATGACAACAAACGATGATGCTCTGTGCGTGTTAGATAACTTTAATTTCTTGATCTTTGGGGACACATTACGCTTTCGAGCTTCGTTTAGCACTTAATAATTCGAAAAACGGGAGAACGGTGGACTTTATTCATTTTTGGATCCGATTGCAAACATGATCTGCGATTTCCCCTTATAATAGATTTTTATGCTAAACCAGTCTCATATTCTTAATCTGACTCGAATTCTGAATCAGAGGGACAGTACAAGGACTATCCAAAGAGACATGCATTTTTCGTGATTCTTACTTAAGTTTACTTAAGTTATAAAAATTGTCATAGCAATAAATATCTCATGCAGTAAAGATTATTTTCTTTTGATTAGTTATAGAAAAAAATCGATTTTTCCTAAATATCCCTGCTCCTTCCCTTTGGTTCCAACTTTGAGCGTGTTTATTTTCTAATTCATATTTAAAAGTAACTCACTTGTGGTTGCTGCTATTCAATATGAACTTGTAGTGGTTATCGCTAGTGTAGCTACTGTTGATAATGTATTATAAAACCACATGTATAATTTAAACATTCTAAATTTAAAGCTGTTCTACACTAATTCATCGTGTCACGCCACGACCCCCATTATACAGTTGATTCATGCAAATCGTACTATTTCAGAATGTGGTCGGAAGACATTTGTATGTACCACTGATACATACCAAATATCGATTTGTCAACGACTGACTAGTACATCTTCCGTTGTATTCTAAAAATGATTCAGGACCATATACTAAAATATCTACTAATGACATTGGTGATGACGGTATGATTGGACCGGCACTTAGTAAACTTTGAAATAATCTGCATCTAAATGGTAATATTGAATCATAGTTAAATGTACGACATGAGATACTTGAAGTACAATGACTGATACATTTTATTAATGTTTTAGTATTTATATATGTAGCAAGCAATTCAAATGAATCAGCTGGTAGAAATTCCATGTCTCCCAAATATGTCATTTGCATTTGTGATTGATATACTTGTAATTGTGTTGGTACAATTAGATAGAAGAACAACACGTGCAAGAAGATCAATAGGTACATGATTTGACGTTTTGAAAACTAGAATATTTTCCGAATAAAGAATAGAATTATTACATTAACAAAATTTTTTTATTATTTCGGTCATATAAGCATTTTCTTTCTCAAAATTAAAGATAAATAAAAATATTTAATTAAATATTACCTTTTTATTTAAACTTTCTTTTTCTAATTAGAAAAAAATTTTAGTCAGCAATAGTCGGAATGTTCCGTAAAATTATATGGTGTAAATTGTCAAATTGTAACAGCAGACAAAATTTATCCTCATCTATAAACTTTCTAAAAAAGAACATTTGAATGAACAGAATAAAGTAAAATCTTTTAACGTACCAAAAAAGCCATTACATCGCTATGAAACCATGATAATAAGACTTTTTTTCTAATTAACAGTAAACAAAATATAGGTCTAATGACACGCTCAAAACAAGTGCAACTATCAACAGCTAAGAATCTGGATTTAGATAATATAACTAAAAATGAAACATCAGCTTTACAAAATAAAATCTATACACCTAAATCAGCAGCTGGAAAAGATTTTAAAAAAGACGGGTCATTAATTTAATGATAACAATTTTAAAATCTTATTAATAGAAAACATAAATATAAATTATTCACCAAAAAATCTGTAGTTATAGACAGATATAAAACCACCATTGAATGAAATTGACGGATCATTATAGTAAACTGCGGCAAATTGAAAATTCGAGCGCAATTTGTTTTTACGATACATGATTAGATTTACATTCCGTCAGGACAACATTACAACGCATCAACGAAAAATGCAAAGCATCCTATAACATTGAATATGCATGTCGACGGCTCATTATTGATAGGATCAAACAAAACGTCTATCTGGTTCTGTTTTGCATCGATTATTCAAGTACCACCACCGGCAAGAGAGTACAAACAAATATAATTGTCATGACTCTGTGGGTTTCGCGTGATAAACCAGAACTAAATTTATTCTTAGGTGATTTAATTAAAGAACTTCAAGAGTTAATGGCAAACGGATTTTCAATCTTCATCAATCACAATAAGTTTCATATAACAATAACAACCGGTTTTTTTATTAGTGATCTGCCTGCCAAAGCTCTTTTTTTCAAGACTATCAACTTCAATGGATATTTTGCTTGTTCTCAGTGTCTGAGCGAGGGTATGTGACAAGTAGTATTTGTCGAGCATTTCGTCCTCGGGGGAGAGAAACTAACTTTAACTACCATTTTCTATCTGGTATGTTTTCTTCGCTTTATTTAGATGCTATAAATAATCGACAAGTTATTTATCCTCACGACAACGACATCAATTATACAGCACGGCCCATGATCAATATATTACCACAGCAAAGCAAGTCGAAGCCAAATTAGCTAAATCAACTGATCATATGCTGGGATAAAAGACTAAAATTCTCTTGCTAATAAATTGCTAATAAATTTTCAAAATTTGCGTAGAAAAGTAAAATTCTCCTGAAGAATCAATACTGGATATTCTGAATTCCTCTCATACAACTAGAATGCACGTGTAACTGAAGTATTATTTCCATCAGTAGTATTTTCACCAGAACTGAATGTTTCTTTCTCGATACTTAGTGCATCGACAGAGAGGCATTGAGAATGACTGCGTCTTTGCTTATCATAATGTGCTCCTCCATAATCATATGTTCAACCGATCATTAGCCAATTTCTGAATTAAATGCCCATATTTTGCAGAAGAAAAGCGACTATTTCTTACTGGGTCTTAGTCAATGTCTTCGTTGCTAATTTCATTCGAGCTAAAAGAATCACATTTAACGCTTCAGTGAACAATACATTGAGTGATTCAGACAAGAAAAAACGAAAAGATCAAGGTGTAATTCATTGAAAACTATCTTAAAAAGTTCTACGTATCACTGCTAAAAGAATTTTGTTTATTCTCCTGGCTTCGAGGTTGATTTACGTATGAGTATACATATACTCAGTGACGCTGTCACTTTGGATAAGACAATGAAAAACGAAAGCTATTTTTTGTTACTACACACACACGCGGTAAGGTAAGCATAATAGGAACGCCATGCATGGCCGGTCGCAAGCAACACACGTAACTATTGTCACTGTTGCTTCCTTCTTTTGATCAAGCGCTGTGTCATAGTAAAATATTCTGCGTAGCATGGTTCTGTTATTGTTGATCGCGCTTTCCTTACTGCTACGCTATTGATTTATATCCTCCATACACTATCACAGCTGGTCCAACGTACACTACCTACAAGTTCAACATTTTACAGCATCTTACGGCTTTGTCTCCCTATTTCGAAACGAATACGAATGGACTGAGTCCTGATCCTTCTCCGGGTTGTACAGTTGTCAAGGCTGCCTACCTTGTGCGTCACGCTTCCATCTATGCTAACGATTATGATTATGAGAATACTCTGTATCCGTTCTTGCAACGTCTCAAGAACGCGTCATCATCAAAACATGTCAACTTTTCTTGTGCCTTGGACTTAGCCTTCTTAGCTACGTGGACCTCGCCCATCACGGACAGCAAGGAAGAGATGGAAAAGCTGACCAAATCCGGAGGCCTCGAGGCTTTCAACTTCGGTACCCAGCTCGCATATCGTTATCCACACTTACTGCCTATGAAAAAGAAGAATGAATCATCTTTTAAAGTCTGGGCTTCCGAAGCGAACCGAACCAAACAAAGTGCTAATGCTCTCTTTGCCGGTTTGTATGGTGGTATTCAGGAGGACATGATCGGTCAAGTGATGGTAATTGCGGAAGGTGAAGAACAAGGCGCCAATACTCTGACACCGCACGAAAGTTGTCCTCGATTTAGCGACACAGCGGGGTCAAAAGAAGCAGGTATCTGGCTGAAATACTACACCGACCCGATTATTGCTCGGTTCGCAGCTATGGGCACCAGGTTTAACTTCTCGGCCAATGATGTGTTGGCAATGCAGGAGTTATGTGGATATGAAACCGTCATACGTGGGTCGTCGCCCTTTTGTCCTATATTTACCCCGGAAGAATGGCTTTCTTTTGAATATTATTTTGACATCAAATACCACTATCAGTTGGGCTATGGTACCGACATATCACCTAGACTCGGCATGCCTTGGGTCGTGGCATCGAGCAACCTTCTCAATGATACTAAAACTATGGATCAAGATCTTTACGTTAGTTTCACCCATCGGGAGGAGCCTCCGTTTATCTTGACAGCACTAGGTCTCTACAATAATTCGTGCTATGCGGATGCCGACAATATCAATACTACGTTTCCGCTCGATCAGATTAATTACCAGCGTGCGTGGCGGACAAGTGAAATCATTCCCGTTCTGGGTCATGTGGCACTGGAACGTCTGGAATGCGTGTCCGTTACTCACAATGGATCGTTCGTCAGAGTTCTGGTAAATTCAGCACCAAAGCCCCTACCACATTGTGCTTCCGGCCCAGGCGGTAGTTGCCCTTTGTCAAACTATATGGATTATGTTCAGCAGCGCCATGCACTCTACGGAAATTTTTCAAAGACTTGTGGAGTCCAATATAAGGGTACCACTGATGTGTTGTCTATTTATTCATGATAAAAAACTCAGTTTCTACGGACTGAATATCTATTTCCATTGGCTCAGATTGTTCCCCGAAATTCATAGGAAATACAAAAAAATTTTGTTATTTTTATCTACTAGCGAGGAGCTTATGAGTTGGTTTTGCCGATTTCTGTCATTTATTTTGATGACTTGTGATTGTGTGAGTCGTATGCAATAAACGTCTTCTTTTTAAAATATAAAATTGTTATCGTGCTGGTATGTATTAATTAGTTCTCAATGTAACTTTTATTCCTATCTAAATAAAATAAATTAATATAATAAAATAAGACGAGTAAGCACTTATGGCATAATGGTGAAGAGTAAGATGGACAGCTGAATGGAAGATTACGAGTTCGATCCTAGCTAAATGCTATTTGTTATTTTTTTCATTTTTTTATCACTGATGCACTTCCGATGAAGGACAGTAATATTCCACAAAACTGAAAATCATCAATCGCTTTCTTTTGGCCAGCATTTGGCTTAGGGATTTCTATGTTTTGCTTACGAATCTCTTTTGAAAATCTTATCGGATTCTGATAAGACACTTACCACTTTTGATGGGAAGTCTTAAACAATCCTATATAAGAAACTAATACGATTCTTATAAAAAGTTGATAAGAGACTTATAAGTTTCTGATAAGATAAGAATCGATCTCTAGGGCCGATATGATGCCTTTGTTAGATTCGTTAGTGTCAGAACACTAGCTAACTCCAAGGCACATAACGCATCAATTGGATATATAATTCAGGTCGACTCATCAAAAGCGCGTGTACAACAATGTTAGAATCAAAAATCTCTAAATTCAACACGATTTTATAGATACTATTAAACATGTATTTCTCATTTTCTGGTTTAGAACGCTTATCGGTTTCATGAACGATATTATAAGCGATTTTCTGTAATAATGTAAAATAGTTATAACTCACAAAGAGAACGTACAAATGACTGTAGGTGTTCACCTTCATTTTTTTGTGTAAGTCCACCGAAACGACACATAAATGCTACACATTTTTGCCGACTATCTTCTTAGATGAATTATCCTTTATTTCAACAATATGAAACAGCAAAAACTAATCGAAGAATTTAAGAGGACCTACCGTTCTAATGATGCTATTCGGTGGTATACGAAGCAGTCTTTTATTTATAAGTTGATAAATATGGCTTTGCACACGGAAGACGTTGAACAAATGTACATTTTCGGTTTATTATCTCCGATTTGTCAAAAAATCGTGCAGATGAATTTCAAAAAACATTCAAAAAAACTGGTACAGTCATGCGTGTTTACCGCGTTACACGAATATCCGTAAGTGAATCGCAAAAGATTAAAAATGCCGTTGATACACTTATTTCAGTAAATGGATTATTGTCTACAAGTCGTTCACAACAAGTCACCCTAATGTTTTCTGGTATTTCCCCTGTGAATCGAGTAAAACAAAGTTTACTCTTCCAGATAGAATGCATTCTAAGTCGTTTGACAGATTCAGTTGTGTTTGCTGAAGTCAGTGCTATTCTTAATGAGAGTGAGATTTTATTCGACATTGGTGCAACGTTTAAAATTATATTCATCAGCCAGAACACTGGTATTGCGATAGTGAAGTTGCACGGAATTGATGAAGGAGCAACTATAGCCCAAGACTACGTGAATTGAATCGGAAGGATATGGAAGAAGCTAATGTGTTTGATGTATTTGGATACCTCCTTACACAAATGGGCAAATACGAAAAAGTACAAAACTATTTTAACCGTTTATTAAATGACCCAAAAGATGAGCCCGGTGCACTATTCTGTAGAAATCTTGGCGATATTTATTATCTAAAAGGAGCATATACAAAGGCTGGTTCTTCCAAATCGAATGAGCATTACTAACAGGCACTAGAACATTATTTAAAAGCCTTGGATGTTGAAAAAGAAACACTGGCACCCTACCTTCCTGATATCGGTGGAATCCAGATGGGAATCGGACTAGTCTATTACCAATTACGCGATTATAGATGTTCGTTTGAGTATCAGATGAACTCTCCAGATATAAGAGAGAAATGTTTTCCAGGTGACCACTTGCATAAACCGGATAACTTTCTATGCGTTGGTCTTCTTTTTAAGACAAAAATGGAATATGACTGTGCTTTAGAATTTCACGTTAACTCCTTCAATATGAGACGGAGACTGTTACGTGTCAATCACGATTCAATTTTTCGCAGGTTAGTTTACATAGCCCCAATCTATGACAGCAAATGAGATTGATGCAAATGAGTCTGATCGATCGATGTGACCAAATGATCAGAAAAGTTTGTGAATATCGCGAAATTTCCAAAAAAAAAGAACAAAGAAAAAGAAAAATACTTGAAGAGAGAAAATCATACAGTATAATATGATGTAATGATATCATTTTGGTTGAACTGACTGGAACTATTGTTAAAAAAGTCACAGATTTTGTAAAGAAAGTCCCGTCACGCTGTAAACCGTTTTTTTCGGGATGAAAACGTGAATGAAGTCTGAAACGTAAATGAAATCTATAGCCAAAATATAGGTCGATGAGAACAAACCCCGATAAAAAAAAGAACCTAGATTATTTGTTAGATCAAAAATAAAAAGTTTGGATCTCAAAACGCGTAATCTTCTCTGAATGCCCTATTACGTTTCCGTTTTTGTGGTATATCGCACGAATGTAGAACGAATACCAAAAATTTCAGGTCTTAACTCTTTGCTGTTTGAGAAAAATTCAAAATACGTAAAAAAAAACATAACTAGTTTTGTGAGTATGTCTCATTTGTGTTTCATCTTACTCAGTTGTGTCTCATCTTCATCGCCATTAGAAAACCCAGTCAGTTTTAATTGAAAATGTTACTATATGTGTCCACAAACAATATCACGTCCGGTTCCACGTGAAAGAAGTTCCTTGAACTCGCTGAGATTCAGTTTGTGATCAAAGTTCTCATCTACCTGAGTAACATAGTGTAGTAACATGTCATGAGTGACATGCGGACTAATAATCGGCAAAAATGCGGCTAATTCGTCGATATCAATGGTTCCTGATTTATTGGTATTCAACAAGTCAAATGCTCGTCGAATTTCATCATTTGCATACGAGCACATCATCAACGCATGAAGAAAACTGTCGAACGACAATGGTTTATGGAGGGTTTTTGCCTAACTGTTGTATTGTTCACGTGATATTTTTGCTGTGAATACTCGCTAGCAATCGTCCTTCTGTACATACAAATCGTGCTTAACCGTTTCTTGATATGAATCGTCGTACTCATAAGTCACTTCGTCTATATGACCATTGTTTTCCTGAATCGTCTCCGCTACACTTTAACCAAAATCCATGGCACAGAAGATTA